AAACCCTCATTCTCCATCACTGCTTCCCTATATGACCCCTCCAGAAAGAGAGGATGACGCATCTGGTCCTGGCACCCCTCGCCTCCCTCCAAGGCATGTTTGCTGCCCCGCAGAAACTCATCCAGAAACGCTACGACAAACTACTGGACTATTGCAGCCGCCTGGAGCGCTCTCCCTCCTCCTCCTCCTCCTCCTCCTCCTCCACGTCTTCAGCCTCTGCCTCTTCCTCCTCTCCATCGCCTGTATCAGAGGACCAGGTGAGGTCAACAAGGCTTCGGTTTGTCGCGATCATGTTACCTAGCAACAATTCCGTTATACGATTTGAATGAACATTCCTAAATGTTATATTGAAGCTTCAAATAGCTCATTTTGAAGGGATTATAGCATTTTAACGACAGTATTAAAACAGAAAATTATTTTGCTATTGAGAGTTTAGTTTAGTGGTCTTTCAGCATTATAGCTGTTCTCATTAAAAACTGAAATATGTTGCTGTCCCAATAAATAAAACATAAATGTTGAATAAATAAGACAATTTCAGAATGCTATAAATGTCTTTGCTAAAAGAAAAATCTGTTACTACAGGGCCAGGTGGCGGCGCGGCGGGACTACGCAGCCCTCAATGCTCAGCTGGTGGAGGAGCTGCAGAGATTCAACATGGCCGCCCATACTATCTTGTCCAACTGTGTCCTCTGCCTGGTGACTCTGCTCAAAGGCCTGATGGACACGGCCTGCCACCACGCACCCTCCATACAGCAACTACCGGTGAGGAAGGGAGGGGGAGGGAGGGTGGAAGGGAGATGGAGGGAGGGAGAGAGAGTGGGACAGCAGAGGTGTATCTGGGTGATAGGGGGTTCATGTGGAGATTTGTGTGGTGAAATAGAGGGCTTACTTTATTTAAACAGCAAGATATTTTGTAGTGTGAAAGGGAAAGGGTTTGTGGTGGACATAGTGTGTTGTGAGTTGACGCTAAATACCATACATTGAAGTATGATAAAACGTTTTATTTGAAACTTGTGTTGTCTGTTTGTCAAGGCTCCTTTGTCCAACATCAGTGAAGTCCAAAGCAGCATCATGGAAGAGCTCAACAACCTGACTGTCGTCAAGGACAACGCACAGACTCTAATAGAACGCAAAGTCAGCTTCGAGAAAACAAAGAAAATTTTAGCTGTAAGTTTGGGAAGAAAAAAATACACGGTTGAAAGCTGGAAGGACTTGCCTCAATGTATCCCCCATTGTTACTACAGTATGTGATAAGCTAAGGTAATTAAACGCTAGCCTGGTCGCAGATCTGTTTATGCTATATAGCCAAACTCTTATTGTCGTTGTCATGCCAATGACCATAAGAGTTGGTAAGACAGCACAAACACATCTGGGAGCATCCTCACTGAGCCAGCTATCTGTAGGAATGCCAGTAGACCCCAGCATTACCCCACAGCCCCACCACCTATTCCAGGATTGGCTCCCGTAGGTTTTTAATTGAACCAATTAAAAGTCAATTAAAGAACAATGTTGGGGATATTATCGGAGCCAACAGACTCTGCCGAGCTCTCTGGGTTGTGATTAAATAGAGCGCTTGGCAACCCCAGCGCTACTCCAGGTATTACTCCCCAAAGACAAGACACTGTGTGTGTGTGTGTTTGATCAGCGCAAGACTCCTTTGGATCGGTTTCGAACCACCTTCCCTTCTTGAGACCCATCCCCATCCCCACCCCCACCAACCCAAGGGGGCTCGTTAGCGATCATTCCCCCACTCCCCCTTTGGGACACTGATGACTCGGATCATATCACCCTAACTCCCTTCTCACCCACTCCCCCTCCACAGGTCCCAGAGATCCAGCGTCAGACAGAGAGCAACAGGGCCAGGCTGCTGGAGGAGTATCCAGCTGACAGGCTGTACCAGCTGAAGAGGAACTGTAACGGGTGTCAGGAGCAGGATGTCAGCCTGCTGGAGGGGGAGCTGGTGGGCCTGCTGAAGGACACAGACCCCCTGGGGAGCCGGGGCCGCTGGCTGGTTGACACTGGCAGTAAGTTCATTGTCATAGGTTGGATTATGTGACGTGGCACTGTTGGATCTTCCTGTCTCATGTTGCAATAGGGGCTTAGTTATTGGATGTGTACCATTTTTTGTTAGGGCCGGACGATACCAGTATCGCGATACTCGTTAGTGTTGTGGCAAGGAAACAAAACACAAAGCGGATTTAACTTCTTAAGGAAAACCCACCCTAATGTTGGAAACAAACATCATAATGTTGTCATCAACAGTCACATTTATTTATTTTACATACAGCAGGTTTTAAAGAACCAAAGAGCTTGATCTGCTTCCTGTTTTCATTTTTGCCATGAAACTAATATAGTGATACTGGTATCATCACAGCCCTAATGTCTGTTCTGTATGAGAACATTTTATTTGCACTTTTCTATAAACTAGCGGTGATAGACCGCCCAAATAGAGGATGTTTCATCCACTACTTCAACCGTTAAGGTCTATGTCATGTAGACATAATGCTCTGTTTATGTCCGTTGTACAGGTGTGTCTTGTGCAAAATGGCTACTGTAGTACACCATCCTACAGGTCTGATCTACATGACCTAACTCTAGACAAACATCCCCCCTCACTACTGTGGAACTAAACTCCTAGCTCTTCTGTCCTGTGGTGTGTTTTGTAGATACCGTAGATACACATCTCACTTCCTGGTTACTAACCTACCACAGCTGACAAGTCAGCCAGCCTGGTGGGGAAATTCCCAGAGGCCTCTGACTGTGATGTCACAGTGATACCTAGAACAAACTAACCTCACCGACACTCTCTGTGTCTCTCTCTCTCTCTCTAGAGAGTTGCTGCCTCACAACAAGGCCAACTCAAAAGAGTTTGTTACCATGTATTTTCCGCGCCGCGCGTCGTCTAGCGCTGAGTGCCTGCCAGTTGTTTGCGGCGAGCCGCCTTTCGCTGTAAGCAGAGTTACTTAGAGTACAAAGCCTCTCCCTGGGGGCATTGAGAAACACAGGCTGAGGAGGAGAAAGAAGATGCCTGCCGCGCTTCTCTGTACTGCAGAATAACAAGGCTCAAATCAGCCAAGTTTTTGCGAGGAGTGGTAGAAAGGTTTGCGTGCGTGTGCATGTTGAAACTACTTCACATATTTATTTCATCCACTGGGACTACTAGTCTTCATAAGAAGCTGTTTATTATATGGTCGATATTAATGCTGCCAACGCAGTAAACAAAATTACCATTTCCCATTGCAACAATACTCCTGGTTTAAAGAAACCTTCCTTTTATAGGCAGTTTATAGACCGTGCAATCAGACAATTCATTCTTTCATCCCCTTATTCGTTGACAGTGACACCGATCTCCCTGTGACTTACCCACAGTACAGCCAGTCTCACAAAGAACCCTATTCACATCCAACCCAACCACCTGTGCATTTGTTGAGCCTCCCTGCACCTAGCTCTCTCACAGACTTATTTTTTGTCTCTTATCTTTAACTCTGCATTGTTGGAAAAGGGCCCGTAAGTAAGCATTTCACTGTTGGTCTACACCCGTTGTCTACGAAGCATGGGACAAATACAATTTGATTTGATTTGAATAGTAGCCTATATTATTTTATTTCAAATACTTTATCTGAATCAATGGAATAGTCCCTAAAGTGAAAACAACGCCCATCTGGCAGTCCAGGCAGGCTGAAGCACACACTAATCACAGCACCAGGAAGCACCTACTATTTGAACCCAGATATGTCTGACAGACACAAACATCCCTCTGTTCTCCTTCTCTCCCAGGTACCCAGGGCTACGTCTACTCATCCTTCCTGAAGCAGTACAACCCCAACAGGGATCAGGCTCGACCAGGTCAGGGTACAGGGACCACAGAGCCCCAGCAGTCCATCGTGGTGCTGGACGAGGACTTCGACAACCTCAGCCTGTTTGTGTCGGGCAGCGGGAGGAACAACAGCATACGAAGCCGAAGCAGCATACGGAGCATGGGCAGCATACCTAACTTCAGCCTCTACAACACCTCCAGTACCTCGCTTGACAGCTGCTCCACCCCATCCAGCCTACAGGGGGACACAGAGCCAGACGTCCGCCAGGATGTGGACACAGAGACAGACGACCAGCAGGTGGGGTAACGCTGGGTTAAAGAAGGGTCGATTTGAACCCTTATGGACCCTGCTCTCTATAAAGGCTCTGGTCAAAAGGAGTGCACTATGTAGCACAGGGTTCTTCAATTCCGGTCCTGGAGGGCCAAAACACCTCTGTTTTTCATCCTCTCCTTCTAATCAAGGGCTAATTCAGACCTGGGACACCAGGTGAGTGCAATTAACTACCAGGTAGAAATAAAAAACAGAAGTGTTTCGGCCCTCCAGGACCGGAATTGAAGAACCCTGATGTAGCATAATCTTCTAATTCTGAATGCTGATTGGTTAAAACAGCATTCTAGCAGGTGTCTATTTCACAAGTTATCACCGGCTAAATCTATGACGTTAAAATGCCTATTTACTCTGTTCCATCTGACTACGCAATCCACTGTCTCATCAGCACAGCCAGGCAATTTATAAACTTCTATAATATGTGTCTACGTGACAGGTGCATTATGAAATGGAAGGACTGATCCTTGTTCAGTTGTCAGGGCTCACAGTAAGCAGAGGGCTTAGGTGTGCCTTTCAGTAGGCTTTACATTATGTCAACTATCTCAATAGAATGAATGGCAAACTCCATTCGCTGAACAACACCTCAAAATGGACTATTTGATATACAGGCTACATTGTAATTTACAAACAATAAATATCACATTGAAAGCAAAGCACAGGAAATACATAGATGACAAGCTAATCTAATAATCTACAAAAAGGAATTGACTAAGCAAGCAATGTATCTTTACTAGCTTATAGAAATGCCTGTAAAGGCCTCCTCAGAGCCGTGGTATGACATATGAGCGTGGTTATTGCATGGAGAGCAGTAAAAAGTGAAGTGTGCTGGTTTATAGTGCAGATGATTCGAAAACCCACTCTGTTAGGCCTGGTGGAAGCCTTTGGGCGGTGTGTGTGTGTCTGTCTCTGATAGGTTTAGGGTCACACTTCCATCTCCCATAGAGATTATATGGAGTGAATAACATCTATACGACACTAGCGCTGTAACTCAACATTAGCCCCTTTAGCAGCCGCAGGGCAGGATCTGTTCTTACTATGTATTGGTTTGCTGCGACCTGGGAGGACGCTTTTGACCTCCATCAGAATATGAGGCGGTTAATAGAGATTGTAAATGGATATTGGTGATGGTGGGTTTGGGACTACAGTGAGTTGTGATGGGATCGGTTTCTTCTTTTGTATGGATTAACAGTGCCACCGACTGGTGAATTATGGAAATACCACACTGAATTCAGTCGAGACTGTACAGCACATTTTTCCACTGGAATACGCTTTGCAATCGCAATTAACCAATACCTTGATACGTTGTGGATTTTAAAGTTTCAACAGATTGCATTGCAAATTAATTTGAGTAAATAACTATATGTCGGGGCACTTTGAAAAACTTTTGCCACACTTTTAGTTTGGGGTCTGATTCTGAGGAACATGAACCCAACATTTTCTCCACTACACCACACTACTTACTGTATCACCGGAGGCTGGTGGCACCTTAATTGAGGAGAACAGGCTCATTCTAATGACTGGAGCGGAATTAGTGGAATGGTAACAAATACATCAAATACATGGTTTCCAGGTGTTTGATGCCATTCCATTTGCTCCGTATACTGTATGTATGGTACAATAACTGCTCTATCTTGAATGTTCTGTCTGTTTCTCCAGTTTTATGCGGTGTACGCATTCAAGGCGCGCTGTGACCAGGAGCTGACCTTGCAGGAGTACCAGCACGTGAGGATCCTCAAGTTCAGCGACCTGGGAGGCAACAAGGACTGGTGGTTGGCCGAGGCCAATGGACAGAAGGGCTACGTCCCAGCCAACTACCTCAGCAAAATGTCATACGCATAAAGGAATAGATTGGGATTAAGAAGGCCCAATCCCAAATGGACTCCTAGCCCCTACAGGAAGGTTTCCCAGACACAGATTAAAGCCTAGTCTTGGACTAAAACACAATTTTAATGGAGACTCCCAAGGACTAGGCCAAATCTCTGTTCAGGAAACCGGCCCTATGCCCTTGTGGAGATTTGAGAGGATTTTATAGGTGTACCGTAGCAACATGGTGAAAATTCCGCCTAGCATATCAGGGTAAGGTAGATTTATTACCATATCCTCTCAAATCTCCACAGGCATAGGGTCGATTTGGGATAGGGCTTAAATGTAACTGTCTGTGTCTATAAAAAAAATTATATTGACCAGAAAATGTAATTATCAAAAGATCATGGTTGTTAAGATTATTGCATATTTGCAATTGAGAAAGCCACATTATGCACTAATAATGAAGCTATCATTGTGCTGAGCACTTAGTATTGCCACCTGCAGTGTTGATGAATTTATATTGTGAATGTGTGTTGTCCCAATGAAAATAATGATTTATTCTAATATCTAATATATGTCAAGCAAATGTATTTTGAAAGAGATAATGCGTTTTAGAGTTATACAGTTCCTCCATGTAATGTGTATATTTTATATAACTTATCAGTGATGAATAAAGAGTCTTTATCAGTGGTGCACGATCCTGTTCATCTGATGACCGCTTGCTGATGATCTCATGTCGTTTTCACACTTTCGTGATTTCAGGAGTCTCCTCACAAAAACAAGACAATTCTACTATGTCATAAAAATAATACATTTAATTAAGTTTTGCCCCCCCCCAAAAAAAATAATGTTAATTTAAATTTTCTGTGATGTGGCGGAGTTTGGACAGAACATAGAGGCATATTGTAGCCACTAACACATCTCCAGCAGCATTTCATACATCATAATGAAATTCAAGTATTCAATTGGATTCGGTTATATCCACGTTACAGTTAATACAATGCTCTGGCACGCCCTCCCATTCATAACTTACACCTCGAACATCTTACTTACACACACATCTCTTTCCTTCTTCCTCCTTCCCTCACTACTCCTCTCATTCCATTCATTTCTTCAGCTTCTTCTGCGCCGCTTTTTTCTTCACCATCTGCAGGCGTTTCATGGCGTTGAGCTGAGACTCCTGGGACGTGGGCGCCTTGCCACCCGCTGGCGCTTCAGCCGCCGCCGCCTTCGACCCGTTACCGTTCCCATTCCCTCCTCCGTTGCCCCCAGACCCTCCGCCATTCCCTCCCAGGCTGGGCTGAGACCCACTGGGGGAGGACCCAGGACTTGTCCCCCTCCCCTGGTTCTCCCCACTGGAGGACCGGTTCAGGGTCTGCTTCCCCAGGGCCAGAGGTGGAGGAGGCTTCACCGAACCGTTTCCACCATCAGCGTTATTTCCATTCCCTCCTCCGGTCGCCATCTTGGAGCCGCCCAGTCCTCCGCCCGACTTAGAGCTGGTCAGCCCGGAGAGTCCGGCAGGTTTCTGGCCAGCGGGGGTAGATGTGGAGGAGGTCTTGCTACTTCCGATTGGCCCTGAGGAGCCAGGTTTGGTGCTGGCGCCGGGGCCAGCGGAGGTCTTGGCCCCGAATGCAGCCCACCCTGTGAGGCCGCTGCCCGACTGCAAGGAGGAGCCGGTACTAGAGGGGTTGGCAGATACTGCTGCAGAAGCCTAGGAGGAGAGAAAGAAACAAGCGTTAGAGATGCAATACTCCGAAGCACTTCCAAATGATTCTGATCCTTTCCCCCTAGGATAATGTCCAGGTATTACACACATGGTCCGTTTGCATGACAAAATATATACATTTTGTCTTTCGATTCAACCTAAATGTCTGCCATCTTTGAAAAGGCTATTGCACTGTATGCCATGTAATGTTGTATATTGTCTGGGAATTACATGATCAGGTTGCATTAGACAAGGTATATCTTATTGAAATATGTAATTTAACCTAAATATGACTTGTATTTCAAATATGCAGCTCTGAATTCTTAATGCTTACCTTCACCTCAGTTCGTTTGAAGGCCTGAAAGGTGCTGGATGTGTCGGGTTTGACCTTGAGTTCCGGTTTCTTCACCAGAGGGTCCTTCACCACGGGGGCTGCTGACACCACGGCTGGGGCCGGCTTCTGTGAAGGCTTCTGGGTCTTCTGGGCCTGGCAGGCAACAACAACAACAGCATAAGAACCCATTCAATTGGGGTCATTTTGGGAGTTCAGAACGTTCAGATAGAAATGTATTGTGTAGAAAAATATATGATTGTCCGTCAGTAAGGAATCGTGTCAGCTCTGTTCATTACATTTCTATCTGCAACGTTCAGAAGGTTTCAACTCACTGAATACACCCCTTGTTATAAGTATTGGTCACATGGTTTGCGTCCCAAATGGCACCCTATTCCCTATGTAGTGCACTACTTCTGGCCAAGGCACATAGGGATCTGGACAAAAGTAGTGCACTATGTAGGGAACAGGGTGCCATTTCCCGACTCAGCCAGGATGACTTGGTCATTATCCATCTCTTACCATGCGTTTCATCTGCCGGGTGCAGCGGGCGCAGTACCAAACCAGGCGCGGGTCGTTGACGTCTTTGTCCGTCACCTGGGGCTTGTGGCAGTCCTGGTGGTAGAGGTTATGGCACTCCTGGCACTCCACCAGCTGGTTGCCCGACGTCACCGTCATCTGCCTGAGGTCATCAAAATGAGACTAATTGATTGATTTTATTTGTCAGTAAAAAATATACATATACTGTACATTACACACAGTACATACAGTCATTCATCACTGAAAGAGTTACAGGTAGTGTTCATTAGGCACCAAACGAAGAAAAAAAAGGACAAACAGGAAGAGACTAACTGGACTTTTTCGTTTTCAGTTGCGAAATGATTGAATGTTTTGCGTGCCCTAGTGAACACAACCCAGGTGACATTCAAAAAAGGTCAGGCACTTACCTGCAAACCACACAGGCCAGCCCCATCTCCATGGCGAAGTCGTCAGCGTTGGTCTCCGCGTCGAAGTTGGAGAAGTCAGGCAGGGGAATGTCTTTGAAGGGCTGGACTGTGACGGGGGACGAGCGGTTCTCATGCTGCTTGGGCTCCAGGCGAGGCTTCTTAGACGGTTCAGGTCCTTCACCTGGCTCTACCCTCACCTGGAAGACAACGGGAAGGTGCTGTAATGGTTAATAAAGGTGTTATGAAGGTTTATAAAGTTGTTATGTAGGTGGTATGACAGTTTAAAGTTCTATGTCAACCTCAACAAATAATAGGGATTTCATATTAAAATGTTGACGTATGATCTCTAAGTGACGGTTTACATTCCATGTCATCTCGAAAAACTGAAGATATGTCACACTGAACAAATGTCTCCAATTATGTATCCAATGTATAACATTATGTATGTACAATGGATAATTGTGTATGCATGTTTGGTTCTAGATTGTCTCAACAAAAGGAATGGAATTACTGGAATATGGATATGGAACGTCTCAAAATCCAATGTAATAACATTATGAATGACAAACGATTACACATCGTTTTTGTTGTTGTGTTTTCCATGATTTGCAGTATTGGTTTGGTTCTGGAACAAACTAGCCTAGATCATGAATGAATCCCTTCCCCCTACTCAGCCACAGCATCCATTCCATTTCCTACCTTTTCTGAAGGCCTCTTCTCCACCTCCTTCTTGCTCTTCTCTGAGCTGCTGGACTTGCTGCTGCTGCTAGATGAGGAGGAGGAGGAGCTGGAGGAGGACTTGTAGTCCTGTTTATTTATGCTCATCTTGGACACCTTCGTCACCTCCACCTCCTGTAGATGGACACAACATGGAAACACGAGGCTTCAGAGCTACTTCTCCAGGAAACAAATGTTGGGAGTGACTGAAAGAACTAGACAGAAGCGGCAGCCTATAGTAGAAGAAGGGATGTCTGAAAGGACAATGAGTGACACGGGTAAAGCACAGGTGCCTAGATAAGGTTTCATATGTTACACCTCAATTATGTACGTCTATGGATTTCCTTTGGATTACTGACAAAAGCCCATATGATGACATCATTAGAATATAATAGCACCAGCCTGTAAAATGATGACAACATCATGTTCTGAAGAGAGGTGAATGAATGCCATATAATATTATAATGATATATGCCATTTAGCAGACCCTTTTATCCTAAGCCACTTAGTCATGTGTTTTGTACGTATGGGTGGTCCCGGGAATCGACTCTACTATCCTGCCGTTGCAAGCACCATGCTCTACCAACTAAGCTACAGTAGTCCATACCTTCAGTGATGAGCGGTAAGAGGAATCACTCCCTTTGCCAGATAGAGACTCGTCCAGCAGAGCTCTGAGTTTATCCACAGAGTCTTTGCTTTTTGAGTGCAGGTATCCCAGTCCCTTTAGGAAGACAGGGTCCAACTCCAGACTCACTGATGCAGCCATGATCACACTGAGCTGTAGATATAAAGAATATGTGGATATGTAGAATATGGCTTACACTTTGACTATAGGCCCTCCCTGTTTTTGGCCTCATCCAGTTGATAAATACTAGCTAATTGGTCATCTGACAGCTAGTGAGTAACGTTAGTGATATTGGTGGCTGGCAAAGCTAGAAAATACAGAAAACATAACTAACTAGTTACTATTGACACAAAGGTCAACTGCTTCTACACTAACTTGCATGAACGTAATGTTAGGTAAGAAATACTGACTTGTAAGTGACTGTCAGCTTCTGAAGCTGTCCAGTTGGCTATCTAGCATTATCAAGTAACTAACGTTAGCCTTGGTTGGGAAACCTGCTAGCTAGCTAAAGTAGCTAGCTAGCTAGTAAGCTAGCAAAGGTTAGTTGAGATTCATCATGTTTGATTACCTTACCTTACTCTCAAATATCTTTAACGTGTATTTCACACACTCATGTGGTTATTATGACACGTAAATATTTACAGTAACTTGACAAGTGGCATTTGAGCTACTGTAGCTGAAACAGCTTTATTTCCTTCTAGCGGCATTCTTGTCCACCCACTAAATACTCCGAAGAAATAAGCAAGCTAATTTGTTCCACGGACCTCGACAATTACCCGTTGCATATTTGGATTATCTAAACTATTCAAAATACGCCACTATAACTATATAGTGTATACATCCTTTTATAATACAATGTTTACATTTAATTGTGGTATGTATTTGAATGTATTTACCACTGATCAGGTCGGTCTGTATTGAGTGTTACACGTGGAAACTTACTTGAGGAAGTGACGTTCTCACCATAACAACGTGGTTTTCAAATTTGCACAGTGAGCTTCACATGAACTGTAAGTAGCTAATTTCAATGTATCATTGTTTGCTTGGTAGTCAGACACTAAACAGAAACGAGGCATGGGCTAACTGTCTATATAGAGCACAAGCTAAATGCATACCTAATTAGACAGCTACTAGCTAGCTAACAGTCAGTAGCTAAGTCAACGTTGGAAATGCAAGCATGAGGCTGTCTTAGCTAGCTACTTTAGTCTAGCAGACTATACTCTACTTCACGATATAGCTATACATCTTGAGATGTACATGTCGTGGAGTTGAGTTTAGTCAGCTAACTTTGGTCAGAGTTTGTTGCCTAGTTGCCACAATACCACTTGTCGTGTTTACAGGTTTGATCGACACCTATATTCAACCTATTCAGTACCTCCTGTAACAATGACGCAGACAGACCCACATCAGGAGCAGCAACCAGAGTGCCTCTACCTGGAATTATCCTCCCAAAACGAGCAGCCCTCTGTTCCCCTACACACTTCCATCTCGCTCTTCCTCCTGTCCTACTGCCAGTGCACATCATTCAAAGTCTTCCTTGTCTCTGCCAAGCCTGACACTCACAGCTCACAATCCTGGAAGTCACAGGTTTGTCATTGTCTACAACGCAAAGCATATTGACAGTCATGACAGGCAAAGGTGTTGGGGAAAACTTTACTGAGTATGTTTCAGTCAACAACAGTACACACTATAGTGAAGGTGAATACATGTCAACATAAATATGTGTAACAACAATTTTGCTTTGACAGGTACCAGAGTCTTTAGCTGTCTCGATGGTCCATGTCGAGGACTTGCCTGTGTTGGTGAGGGGCTGCCGTCTCCCCGCGGTACTGGATGAGACTGGGAGGTACTGCAGGGCCGGGCTGGCTGTGGTGCTCAGGCATATTATAGATAGGACCTGTGAGGCAGACCCCAGTAGGAAGGATGCAGCATCACTTCTAGGGTTCAAGAAGACCTGTCTGAAGGCCTGCGCTGAGGTAAGGGGCAACACTAAATTATTATCATATGCATGCAGTGCCATTAGCAAAACTATGAATGATTCTGTTTTAGTGTATATATGACAGGAGTGTTTTTGTTTATTTTTTATTTATTTTTGGTATAGTTATATTCTCACACTTCCATAGGAGCTTTCCCATTGGAAAACCAAGTGAATCTTATATTCTCCCAAAGTGATTTTTTATGAGCTAGTGAATAAGATGGGATAAATTTGTCCGCTAGTTGTCTTGGACACACAGTACTGCTGTATAAAAATAAAACTCTACACCATTGACAAAAATATTAGTCATAATGAATGCCTGTTCCTCCTCTCCCTTATAGGTGAGCCAGTGGACCAGGCTGTGTGAGCTCAGTATCCCCTCGGCAGTGGAGGCCCACCTCCGGCAGCCCACCAACCCATCCCTGCACCTCCCCTCTGCCCTCCTCAACCTCGAAAAGACACTAGGCGAGCCCGTCAAGGTGCACAACGACGACAAGATCCGCCGGCAGAAGCTCCAGCAGCAGAAGAAAAAGAACCAGAAGAAAACCTCTCAGGACCTCCAGGAGGACCAAGGGACAGACGTCACCCAGCCCCAGGATTCGCAGTCCGCCGACGGGCTAGAACTCCGAGCAGCCCTGGCCAAGCTGTCCGTGCATAGTGGTGCAGTTCCGTCCACGACCACTAGGGAGAGCTCTGACATCAGGAAAGTGAAGACCACAGATCTGCCGCCGCTGGAGCATGTGTTTGCTGAGGGGCTGTACTTCACTCTGACTGATGTGGTGTTGCTGCCGTGTATCCATCAATACCTGGTAAGGAAGGCCCTTGGAGATTATCTGTTAGTTATACACTACCAGTCAAAAGTTTGGACACACCTACTCATTCAAGGATTTTGCTTTATTTAAAAAAAAAATTACATTGTAGAATAATAGTGAAGACATCACAACTATGAAATAACATATATGGAATCATGTAGTAACCAAATAAGTGTTAAACAAGTCAAAATATATTTTATATTTGAGATTTTTCAAAAAGCCACCCGTTGCCTTGATGAGAGCTTTGCACACTCTTGGCATTCTCTCAACCAGCTTCATGAGGTAGTCACCTGGAATGCATTTCAATTAACAGGTGTGCTTTCTTAAAAGTGAATTTGTGGAATTTCTTTCCTTCTTAATGCGTTTGAGACAATCAGTTGTGTTGTGCCAAGGTAGGGGGGATACAGAAAATAGCCCTATTTGGTAAAAGACCAAGTCCATATTATGGCAAGAACAGCTCAAATAAGCAAAGAGAAATGACAGTCCATCATTACTTTAAGACATGAAGGTCAGTCAATACAGAACATTTCAATAAATTCGCAAAAACCATCAAGCACTATGATGAAACTGGCTCTCATGATGACCACCACAGGAATGGAAGACCCAGAGTTACCTCTGCTGCTGAGGATAAGTTAATTAGTTACCAGCCTCAGAAATTGCAGCCCAAATAAATGCTTCACGGAGTTCAAGTCACAGACACATCTCAACATCAACTGTTCATAGGGGACTATGTGAATCAGGCCTTCATGGTCGAATTGCTGCAAAGAAACCACTAGTAAAGGACACCAATAAGAAGAGACCTGCTTGGGCCAAGAAACACGAGCAATGGACATTAGACCGGTGGAAATGTGTCCTTTGGTCTTGGAGTTTTTTGGTTCAAACCGCTGTGTCTTTGTGAAACACGGTGTGGGTGAACGGATGATCTCCGCATGTGTAGTTCCCACCATAAACCATGGAGGAGGAGGTGTTATGGTGTGGGGGTGCTTTGCTGGTGACACAGTCAGTGATTTATTTAGAAATCAAGGCACACTTAACCAGCATGGCTACCACAGCATTCTACAGCGATACGCCATCCCATCTGGTTTGGGCTTAGTGGGACTATCATTTGTTTTTCAACAAGACAATGACCCAAAACACACCTCCAGGCTGTGTAAGAGCTATTTGACCAAGAAGGAGAGGGATGGAGTGCAGCATCAGATTACCTAGCCTCCACAATCCCCCAACCTTAACACAATTGAGATGGTTTGGGATGAGTCGGACGGCAGAGTGAAGGAAAAGCAGCCAACAAGTACATATGTGGGAACTCCTTCAAGACTGTTGGAAAAGCATTCCAGGTGAACCTGGTTGAGAGAATGCCAAGAGTGTGCAAAGCTGTCATAGGGTGGCTATTTGAAGAATCTCAAATATAGAATATATTTTGATTTGTTTAACACTTTTTTGGTTACTACATGATTCCATATGTGTTATTTCATATTTTGATGTCTTCACTATTATTCTACATTTTACATTTACATTTTAGTCATTTAGCAGACGCTCTTATCCAGAGCGACTTACAGGAGCAATTAGGGTTAAGTGCCTTGCTCAAGGGCACATTAACGTCATTTAGCAGACGCTCTTAGCCAGAGCGACTCACAAATTGGTGCGTTCACCCTATAGCCAGTGGGATAACCACTTTACAATTGGGGGGGGGGGGGGGGGGGGGGTAGAAGGATTCCTTTATCCTATCCCAGGTATTCCTTAAAGAGGTGGGGTTTCAAATGTCTCCGGAAGGTGGTGAGTGACTCCGCTGTCCTGGCGTCGTGAGGGAGCTTGTTCCACCATTGGGGTGCCAGAGCAGCGAACAGTTTTGACTGGGCTGAGCGGGAACTATGCTTCCGCAGAGGAAGGGGAGCCAGCAGGCCAGAGGTGGATGAGCGCAATACTCTCGTTTGGGTGTAGGGACTGATCAGAGCCTGAAGGTACAGAGGTGCCGTTCCCCTCACTGCTCCATAGGCAAGCACCATGGTCTTGTAGCGGATGCGAGCTTCAACTGGAAGCCAGTGGAGTGTGCGGAGGAGGGGGGTGACGTGAGAGAACTTGGGAAGGTTGAACACCAGACGGGCTGCGGCATTCTGGATGAGTTGTAGGGGTTTAATGGCACAGGCAGGGAGGCCAGCCAACAGCGAGTTGCAGTAGTCCAGACGGGAGATGACAAGCGCCTGGACCAGGACCTGTGCCGCTTCCTGTGTAAGGCAGGGTCGTACTCTCCGAATGTTGTAGAGCATGAACCTGCAGGAACGGGTCACCGCCTTGATGTTGGCGGAGAACGACAGGGTGTTGTCCAGGGTCACGCCTAGGCTCTTCGCACTCTGGGAGGAGGACACAGCGGAGTTGTCAACCGTGATGGCGAGATCATGGAACGGGCAGTCCTTCCCCGGGAGGAGGAGCAGCTCCGTCTTGCCAGGGTTCAGCTTGAGGTGGTGATCCGTCATCCATACTGATATGTCTGCCAGACATGCAGAGATGCGATTCGCCACCTGGTTATCAGAAGGGGGAAAGGAGAAGATTAGTTGTGTATCGTCAGCGTAGCAATGATAGGAGAGACCATGTGAGGATATGACAGAGCCATGTGACTTGGTGTATAGGGAGAAAAGGAGAGGGCCTAGAACTGAGCCTTGGGGGACACCAGTGGTGAGAGCACGTGGTGCGGAGACAGCTTCTCGCCACGCCACTTGGTAGGAGCGACCGGTCAGGTAGGACGCAATCCAGGAGTGAGCCGCGCCGGAGATGCCCAGCTCGGAGAGGGTGGAGAGGAGGATCTGATGGTTCACAGTATCAAAGGCAGCAGACAGGTCTAGAAGGACAAGAGCAGAGGAGAGAGAGTTAGCTTTAGCAGTGCGGAGAGTTTCCGTGACACAGAGAAGAGCAGTCTCAGTTGAATGACCAGTCCTGAAACCTGATTGGTTTGGATCAAGAAGGTCATTCTGAGAGAGATAGCAAGAGAGTTGGCTAAAGACGGCACGCTCAATAGTTTTTGGAAAGAAAAGAAAGAAGGGATACTGGTCTATAGTTGTTGACATCAGTGGGGTCGAGTGTTGGTTTTTTGAGAAGGGGAGCAACTCTCGCTCTCTTGAAGACGGAAGGGACATGGCCAGCGGTCAAGGATGAGTTGATCAGCGAGGTGAGGTAGGGGAGAAGGTCACCGGAGATGGTCTGGAGAAGGGAGGAGGGGATGGGGTCAAGCGGGCAGGTTGTTGGGCGGCCTGCAGTCACAAGTCGCAGGATTTTATCTGGAGAGAGAGGGGAGAAAGAAGTCAAAGCATAGGGTAGGGCAGTGTGAGCAGGACCAGCAGTGTCATTAGACTTAACAAACGAGGATCGGATGTCGTCAACCTTCTTTTCAAAGTGGTTGACGAAGTCATCCACAGAGAGGGGGGGGGGGGGGGGGGGGGGGATTCAGGAGGGAGGAAAATGTGGCAAAGAGCTTCCTAGGGTTAGAGGCAGATGCTTGGAATTTAGAGTGGTAGAAGGTGGCTTTAGCAGCAGAAACAGATGAAGAAAATGTAGAGAGGAGGGAGTGAAAAGATGCCAGGTCGGCAGGGAGTTTAGTTTTCTTCCATTTCCGCTCCGCTGCGCGGAGCTCTGTTCTGTGAGCTCGCAATGAGTCATCAAGCCACGGAGCTGGAGGGGAGGACCGAGCCGGCCGGGAGGATAGGGGACACAGAGAGTCAAAGGATGCAGAAAGGGAGGAGAGGAGGGTTGAGGAGGCAGAATCAGGAGATTGGAGGGAGAAGGATTGAGCAGAGGGAAGAGATGATAGGATGGAAGAGGAGAGAGTAGTGGGAGAGAGAGAGCGAAGGTTGCGGCGGCGCATTACCATCTGTGTAGGGGCAGAGTGAGTAGTGTGGGAGGAGAGCGAGAGAGAAAAGGAAACAAAGTAGTGGTCGGAGACATGGAGGGGAGTTGCAGTGAGATTAGTAGAGGAGCAGCATCTAGTGAAGATGAGGTCAAGCGTATTGCCTGCCTTGTGAGTAGGGGGGGACGGTGAGAGGGTGAGGTCAAAAGAGGAGAGGAGTGGAAAGAAGGAGGCAGAGAGAAATGAGTCAAATGTGGACATAGGGAGGTTGAAATCCCCCAAAACTGTGAGGGGTGAGCCATCCTCAGGGAAGGAACTTATCAAGGCATCAAGCTCATTGATGAACTCTCCAAGGGAACCTGGAGGGCGATAGATGACAAGGATATTAAGCTTAAATGGGCTAGTGACTGTGACAGCATGGAATTCAAATGAGGAGATAGACAGATGGGTTAGGGGAAAAATTGAGAATGTCCACTTGGGAGAAATGAGGATTCCTGTACCACCACCCCTCTGACCAGATGCTCTCGGGGTATGCGAGAACACATGGTCAGACGAGGAGAGAGCAATAGGAGTAGCAGTGTTTTCAGTGGTGATCCATGTTTCCGTCAGCGCCAGGAAGTCGAGGGACTGGAGGTTGGCATAGGCTGGGATGAAGTCAGCTTTGTTGGCAGCAGAACGGCAGTTCCAGAGGCTGCCTGCGACCTGGAACTCCACGTGGGTGGTGCGTGCAGGGACCACCAGGTTAGAGAGGCAGCAGCCACGCGGTGTGGTGCGTTTGTGTAGCCTGTGCAGAGAGGAGAGAACAGGGATAGGCAGAGGCATAGTTGACAGGCTGTAGCAAATGGCTACAAAAATGCAGAGGAGATCGGAATGAAATGAGAAAATGTAGAAAATAGTACAAATAAAGAAAAACCCTTGAATGAGTAGGTGTGTCCGAACCTTTGACTGGTACTGTATATTTGAAGGGAAGTTATAGTCCTAGATCAGTTTGTGCTGTCTTTCCAACTCCATTGCTGTCACTGGCAAGACAGCACAAACAGATCTGGGACTCAGGCTACAGAATTCTTGCTTTAGGCTACAGAATTCTTGCATTATGCACTTGATTTATATTCCATGGACCGAGCCTCCTTTCTGCTGGTCGCTAAATAAATTATGTAAACTACCAGCACTTCTCTTGCAATTGTGTTTCTGCAATCTTTCTGCAACTTCCATTTCCCAGGCCTGTCTAGTCTCCATGCTAGTTTTAGACAAGTGGTAGCTCTGAGTGTGTGGCACATTTTATTTTAACAGTAGCATATTACCCTATTGTCCCGTCATCACCTGCTGCCTCAGTTGGGTATTTACACCTGTTGCCGTGGCAACCACATTATGAAGGCCTCTGAAATGATGCATGACGCCCTGCTACATTGAATGTCTCGTCAGGTGGTACCTGTACACCCAGAGAGGCTTTATACAGTGGAAACCAGGCAGAACAGTGCCTTCCTAAGACTGTCTCTTGGCACTGTGTGTGTGTTTGGCACAGTCTCCATTTTCAAAGGTGGTCCACCTGGCTATGGGTGATAACACCACAATGACAAATGGGTCCATTTTAAATGTAGTTGGTTGAAATGCATTTCAATGAACCTGCTTTGGGATCATGTGTGGTTCGACGTGCTGATTTTGAAATAATGTAATTGTCACTGAGACAGATCGGAAATTAGGCTGTGAGAAATTAGGCTGCGAGAGTGGTGTTGAAAGGATGAGATTTGCTGCCGATCACTTATTGTAGTTTATCATCAAGTTAGTTTGTAAAAGAAAGTTATTTTCATTTGGAAAGTAGATGCAGCTTCATATCTGCACCAGTGATTTATAACCCATCTGCCCTCGCTGAATTCTCCTGGGAACTATTTACTTATCGATTTCTCATATTTAGTTTAGTGTTGTTTTGGTGGTTTGGGGGTTTATGAGGTGTTAGTTATCGATCTATTATGCCTCGGAGCCAAGCGGTCGACAGGGTCTCTCTCCTCTTCTCTTCCCTCTCTCCTCCTGTTCTCATAGCTGTAGCCTGGGATTGGAATGAAGTGAAGTTCTCACAATGAGGCTCTTAGGGGTCAGCTGAGCTCCAGTGGTTTCCAGTTTCACACTCAGCCTAGCATGTCTCCTCTCCTCTGCCACACCGCCACCGCTGTCTATCCACAGATCCACAGGACAGAGAGCCAGAGAAAAGACCCTTGGCTTTATCTACTGTCACCTCTTTCTCTTTCTACGCTCTGTCTGTTTCTCTCTCTCTCTCTCTCTCGGAAACACATACACACACGTTATGTTCTTCTATCCTCGTGGGAACCTAAAATTAATTTCCATTCAAAATCCTATTTTCCCTAAACCTAACCCTTACCATAACACTAACCCCTAACCACTAGCCCCTTACCATAATTCTAACCCTAACCTTAATTGTAACCCTAAACCCTAAGATTAAAATAGCCCTTGTCCTCATGGGCACGTGGGAAATGTCCCCAAGAGGAACTTTTGGGGATTTTAGGTCCCCACAAGGATAAAATAACTAACCCCCCCCCCCCCCACACACACACACACACACACCCCTATACAGCTGTCCATCTCTCTCTCTCTCTCGCTCTCTCTCCCCCTCCCCCAACCTGGCCTTTCTCAGTGCCTGTCTTTCTATCTCCCTCCCTCTCCCTCCATCTCCAGAGAGGTGATGAGTGGAGGGGATCAGCCTGGTGGAACCTGGGCTCTTGGTTCAGTGGAGATGACACTTCTGATGAATCACTTAACTGACTCAGGCCCCTGTCTTCCCTTCCTCCTCCTCCTCCTATACCACAGAGCTCCCTCCAGAGCCACAACGCCAGCGCGCTGTCCCAGCTGCCTCTCCTGCTGCGCTGGTACCTCCAGGTCCAGGAAGTCCCCGGGGTCCCCAGGGCAGCCCAGGCCTGTGGGATGGCCCTCTCCACCCCCAAGGCCCCCACCACCGGCCCCCCAACCACATCTGAGGCGCAACAGCCCAGCCAAGCGAATCAGGAAAGCCTGGGGACGATCAAGGAGGTGCACTTCGTTGGAGGCCCCAGGCCCACAATGACTAAACTCAAAGTAATTGAATATTTTTGAATCAGTCTCCCCCTCCCTCTGTCTGTCTGTCTGTCTGTCTGTCTGTCTGTCTGTCTCTCTCTCTCTCTCTCAACTCTTCCCTCATTCATTCCCACTGTCTCTTTTGGGAAGATTAGATGAGGAGGCACATTGAACGTTTCAGTAAAGCTGTCACATGCTCTCTAGCAGCAGCGCCTTTCTCTCTCTTGAATGCCTCTAGGCACTTCACATGCGCACACACACACACACAACTGTCCCTTTATACTCACTCTTCCTACTGTGTCCCTGAGCTGCAACGATAAATGATTTATGCATTCCAATTGGTTGTCAAATTAGCCTGCTTCCTATAATTTAACGCTTTCTCACAGATAATTGCGTCCTTGCTGTTGCGTTCTTACTTTAACGCTTTGAACACACCGACTGTGTTATTGCGCAAAATAGTATGCAGCATCATCTAGTTATGTGCGCAACAAAAGGTCAACATTCACCTTCTGCTACCATTTCTGTCAACCCGTTAATGCATACAGTTTGACGCATACGTTCGATAAATCCAACGTATGCACCACACAGAAAGGCAAACGCAACGTTCCATTGGAAATTAATGTACTTCTGGTGTACCAAAATGCAAAGCACTGTCTTGTGTTCGAAGCATAAAGGCTGGTTTGCAGTTGGTCTATCGCTGTGACATCATAAACATTCTATTTTCGTCCCAACATCAAACTTGTCATTATGAAAAACTATAAATACAAAACGACAGCCTCTGCATGACATCAGCAGCTATATTTGAACACCAATAAACCCATCCGTTTAAAAATAATTCAGTAAATGTCAACATAGCAAGTCGGGCAAGTCAAAGCTACTTTCTAAACAATAGTTTGGTTCGTTGTTGGCTAAATTGCTAGCTGGCTAGCCAGTTCAAATAACGACCAGAGTATAGCTGACGACGTCTGAACTTTAGCTACTTTTTATTCATTGTTACAGGAAAACCCACCACAACAACGACCTCTGTAGCTCAATTGGTAGAGCATGGCGCTTGTAACGCCAGGGTAGTGGGTTCGATCTCCGGGACCACCCATACGTAAAAATGTATGCACACATGACTGTAAGTCGCTTTAGATAAAAGCGTCTGCTAAATGGCATATTATTATATTATTATTTACAAGGTAAAATAGTTTACGGTTGTGAGTGTGACGAAATAAAAGTAGGTCATTCTGTCTGCGAAATTTAGAACTCCTGCACCCATCTGTCTTGTCACAGATGGATTTGGATTTGTTGATGTAGCAGCCCAGTAACCACGACAACGGACGTTGTGACAGTCGCAGATACATGAATTACAGAATTTATTTGCTGGTTTTCTTTTTTTAAATCTATACGTTCTAAATATTCATAGCTCTTTTTGAATTTTAAATCATGCTTATAAAAATTATAGACTTTAAATGTAATAATTTCCCTAGCATTCCTCATGAATTGAATTGATTATAATATGGAGAACAGTTTAGGATAAGTAATTATGTTATCCTTTTTCAAACAGTATATATTATAGTGTTGAGAGAACCACAGGTAATCAAATTGAAGTCGAATATTTCACCCCATAAGCCACTTTCATATTTGCCACCACTTTATAGAGTGCACATCTTTCACTTTTCCCCCAGACTTTGATTTGAATAAAAACAATACAGTAGTACACACCCGCTAGCATAATTACTCCACACTCTCAATATAGCCTACAGCCTTTCAGGATGTAATTGCTAGCGCTGTTAGCACGGTTAGCGCTGGACTCCAAATGACTGCCTGGAACACGTTATTGAGTAGTGGTTTCAGTGGGACATAAACAGACACAGCTGTCAAGGCAGGAAACTGATTCCTCAGCTGGCTCAAACCTTCCTAACCCTGAACATCCTCACTGTTCTCTGGCACGGCTGGTCCCAAGTATAAATCAGAGATTTCCTGCTGGCCACACAGATATGATATCCAACAACGGCAGGAAGTGCATCAGCCAATCGTAAATGTTGATAACAAGTTGCCCTCTTAGAATGTGATATTCAACCCTGGTCGACTATGGAGTAGACACAGGTGCACACAGTTGGAACACGCACTGACATACGAGCACAGAGATATGAGCACCGATATACGAACACACACACACACACACACACACACATATAAATACTGCCGTCCCTCGCCTGCCCAGACGGATTGCGATGCTGGTTGGCTTTGTGTGTGTACATGTGTTTGTGTGGTCGTCACCGGCAGGACTGGAGTGCAGCTGTTGTACGGTCTGGGTCTTGGTGGAGCCAAGGGGCCTGTGTGTGTATAGAGGCCAGCCCAGGGCACAGAGAGAGGCCTGGGTGGAGCCAAGGGGCCTGTGTGTGTATAGAGGCCAGCCCAGGGCACAGAGAGAGGCCTGGGTGGAGCCAAGGGGCCTGTGTGTGTGTATAGAGGCCAGCCCAGGGCACAGAGAGAGGCCTGGGTGGAGCCAAGGGGCCTGTGTGTGTATAGAGGCCAGCCCAGGGCACAGAGAGAGACCTGGGTGGAGCCAAGGGGCCTGTGTGTGTATAGAGGTCAGCCCAGGGCACAGAGAGAGACCTACAAGAGAGGGAGAATGAGACAGAATGAGACAGAGGGCTAGGCTCCAACAGTGTGACATGCTATCCCTCACTGCAGCTTACCAAAGCCAGCACTACATCTCATCTGTCCACCACACCAACAATCTAAATCCAATTTTATTGTCCACATGCACCGAATACAACAGGTATAGACCTTACAGTGAAATGCTTACTTACAAGCCCTTGAAAACATAATAGCACAGTTGGTTAGGGGGCTGTAAAACGGCAGCCTTCTCCTCCAGCGCCATTATCCAGGTATGTCTATAAGTTCCCTCCTACTGTGAAGCTGAATATATAATTTTATACAGAGCTGGCTCACCTTATCTTCCTATTTCTCTCACTCACACACACACACACACACACACACACACACACACACACACACACACACACACACACACACACACACACACTCACACTCACACACACACTGTAGTGAGGGAGAAGATTGACACACACAGTGATGTCTGTCAGTCATAAAGCCTGTTTCCCCCAGCTCTCTGTGTGCCTGCCAGTCTTCCAAAGGCCTCTTGCCAGGTGCACTGAGAAATACGAGTGACAGGTTCCAAATGTATCTCTTCAGTATGTACCTACTGTCTCCTACGCTAGAGTGCACAAGCTTGGAACTTGTTCAAGAGGCCATTTTGTTTTTGTTACCCAACAACAACGACACAGAACGGCAGCCTTTTCAAGGTCACGTTTATAGTTTAAAATGTTCCCTCTGATTGACTGCCAAGGAAGGTTAGGTCAAAGCTTTTGATTCCGATGAAGAATGTCCTTGGTGATCTAATATGCCGTTTTAGAAAAACAACTGCCCTTTTATGCCTGGAGAAAGAGAGCAGTGTTTTGTACTAATGAAAGATAAAAGGTAATTCTTAATAATGCTACTTCTTCTATTATCTTGCAAGCTTTTGATGAGGAATGTTCTTGGTGAAGTAAGCTTTTATAACACTTTTATCCAGTATCCAAAAGGACAGTGTGCAAAGATGCAATGTTTGTCCCTATCCACTGCTCATTACCTGTAATATGTAGCTCTTCAGTGGTCTTACAGGAGACTCCTACTTCCCTCTGGAGAACACCTGCATCCCCCTATGAGCCAGGTAACCAGGCCAACCAACCAGACTGTGTGTGTTCTCTACAGGGAGAGAACGACAGAGAACAAAGGATTGAAAAGAAGAAGCAGTCTTGTCCTCAGGTGGTTCTTCAGATTGGAAACAGCGGTCAGGGTGGAGGAGCGGTCCCTACTCTCTGTAAACCGCTTCATTACTGCTTGTTGAGACCGGAAAGACCTTGGAGGCTCTGAGAGAGAAGTTTCTATGGTAACCTTGATGGTGTGTGTGTGTGTCCGCGTGTGTGTGTTCCCGCAGGAGAGTGGTATCGAGGCCGTCTTCTCCCCTCATCCTCGCCCCTCCTGGACCCTCCCCTGGGACAGTTTACCGGAGGCCGTCAACCCCACTGAAGGTACTACCTCCATCCCTCTCTCCTCTCCTCCCTCCATCCTCTCCATCCCTCTCCTTTCTTCCCTCTCTCCTTTCATGTCTCCCTTCGTTCATCCATCTCTCCTTCCCTCCCTTCATCCAATCACCCTTACTGAGCCAGAAAGCCATATCAAACACCATTGATATGTGCGGGAGCATCCCGGTACGCGCTGCATAAATGTTTGCATAAAATATCACTACTACTTTGGCTTGGTGAGTTTCATCGACGAGTTGCCCCCGTTCAAACCAAAACACACAATCAGTTGATCTGTCTGTGACCGGCCGAGCCTTTCGAGACGTAATGCGTTCTCCAAGGAGCGCACCCTAATGAATTCTAAAGCGGTACCTTGCTGTGATGTATTCTCCCAGTGTGGTTGGGGCTAAGTGAGAAACAGGCCTGTCACCGGGACACACTCCTCGGACCGTAGAGCCGTCGTCGGGAACACAGTTGCCGTGGCAGCCGTGTCTGACGGACGGGCGGTGGAAGCAGTGTTGATTGCAGTCCCAGGTGTCGCGAGTCGAGCAGAGAAATGAGTCTCTCTCCTTGGAGGTGGAGGGGGCGAGCGAGCACTTTCCTTATTAGTGTGTTATTATACCCTGAGAAGGCCTAATAAATGAGACGTGTGTGTGTGTGTGTGCGTCTTTATCTCTAGTGTTATTCCAGCGCAGCGTGAAGGAGTTCCATTTAGGGCTGACCCCAATTAGTCGACTGGTCGATTGTTTGATCATTAGGCTGATGGTCGACCGACATTGTTTTATTTGAGCTGTGACAAATATATATATTTGTGCCCATCTCAGTGAACTAATCCATTGCGGAGGCCTAGACTAAAAGCCAATTTATGCTTGATTCGAAAATGTGGTAGGGGGCTCCATAAGGAGGGTGTGACGCAATTGCGGCGCCTCAAGAGGCATGCAGAGGCCAAATCGAGCTCTGTAC